AAACGTTTTTATAATTGGGTTTTGATTTCATTTAATTTATACAATTGAATTTATACAATTTCGGTTATTGATTGTTTAATCACTTTTTTATGTGTACCCGTGTGTTGACACGTTCGCGATCGAAAAACAAGAGACAGAATCAAACCAACGGAGTTTACTTGCAGCCCAAAAAATATAACAAAAAAATTGCTCATCTCGAGCGCAAAAACAAAAGGCAATAAAAACAAGACTTAGAACCGTTGGTTTGATTACATCTTATACAGGGTTAGTTAGATAAATTAATTAACCATATATATTAACCATATAAAATATTATATATGAATTATATAATATATTAATTATAATAATTTAATTATACAATATATGATTTAAAATAGATTAAAATATAATAAAATATAATATATAAATCATATAACACATCAATTATAATAATTCTACAGAATCCTACAATATTAACAATTTGACTTTAACCGCTCTAACATCCCGCCCCCCTTGAAAGGATTTTCAATTGGTAATAGTGCGAGTTTGTGGATTGGACGGCGTATTACTCCTTTTGGGGTTTGCACATCAACAACACGAACCAAATTATCTGGACCCCTGATGCAATGCACGATTCGGCCCATCAACCAGCGTTGTGGAGGCATATTGTCTTCATGGATTAAAACCAGAGCCCCCTCGGTGATGTTAGATTGTTCTTCTGTCCATTTGGTGCGTATCTGCAGCTCATTCAGATAGTCTCTAGACCATCTGCGCCAGAAGTGATGTTTGACTGCGGTTATACGAGACCATTTATCAATTAATGAAGCAGATTCATACTGAGGACTTGGTTCAGATAAAGTTTTGAGCGGCCCACCGATAAGAAAATGTGCTGGCGTTAGCGCTTCATAATCGCTCGGGTCACAAGAATGAGGTGTGATTGGTCGCGAATTTAAGATAGCTTCGATTTCAATCAGTGCTGTTCCAAGCTCCTCAAAGGTGAATCGAGTATTTGATAGTGTTCGATACAGATGGCCTTTCGCGCTTTTTACAGCCGCTTCCCATAGACCTCCAAAGTGAGGTGCTCGGGGCGGTATAAAATTGAAATTTATGAATTGGTTGCTGCAAAAGGTCTGCAGCATCACTTGATTAGACTTCTCGAAAAACATTCTTTTTAACTCTGCTAGTTTATTGTTAGCCCCAACGAAGTTCGTGGCGTTGTCGCAATAGATGTCTGATGGTAACCCTCGTCTACCGATTAACCTTTTCAGTGCTGCAATAAATGCCTCCGTAGATAAGTCTGACACGGCTTCTAGATGAGCTGCCTTTGTAGACAAACAAACGAACACGGCTATATAGGTCTTATATGGAACCCGTCCCCGAATTCGGAGATACGTTAATATCGGACCGCAAAAATCTACCGCAGTACGCGCGAAAGGACGACTTGGAGTGAGGCGTTCGATTGGGAGATTACCCATCATTTGATTAAGTAGTTTGGGTTTATAACGCACGCAGTGAATACACGAGTGCACGACTCGGCGTGCAATTTCTCGAATATTAATTATCCAGAAGTTTAGTCGAGTAAGGGCAATTAGTGCTTTTGCGCCTGCATGATAGTTGCACAAGTGTATATGCCGAACATAAAGTTCCACAAAATAACAGCCCTTCGGCAACAAAATAGGGTGACGTTGGCCTACTGAGATGTCACTCAGCTCGAGGCGACCTCCCACCTTTAGTAATTGATAACCGAATACATTGTCCAGGAAGGGATTTAGATGCTTTAATGTACCTTTGGCTGGGTTCCCTCGTTGTAGGCGTTGTATATCAATTTCGAAGAATTGCTGTTGGATGACCCAAATAATACAGTGCAATGCCTTTTGTAGCTGAATAGGTTGGAGGGTACATTCTCCGTTCTTCAATTTATTCTTGGTTACATGATAAAAACGCTGTACCTGCGCTATTACTCGTAGCATCTTAGTGTATGAACTATATCTTGACAATACCTGTAATACGTAGTTGTCTTCATTTGTGTTAACGAATACAACCTTTCGCGTCTCTTTATTGACTTCTTCCATATCCAGGTTGTGACATTTCAAATGCGGCCAGTATTTATCAGCGAGTAACAAAAATTCCGGCCCCGTAAACCAACAAGACTCTGATAATTGGCGGATGTTACAGCCGCGCGACACAACATCTGCCGGGTTGGATTGGGTAGGAACGTGTCTCCATTGCCCATTTGCGGTAATATCTTGAATTTCTGCTACTCGATTGCCAACGAATGCAGACAGGGTTGATGAGTGCTGCTTCAACCAATGTAATACAATCTGTGAATCAGTCCAAAAAAACGTTTCACCCTTAAATTGCGCAAATATTGGTTGGACCTTCTGATACAGTTTGGCAAGAAGTAAGGCACCACAGAGTTCTAGTTTAGGTAGCGACTTCCGCTTTATAGGTGCCACACGGGATTTTGCAGTGAATAGCCTGACCGTTACCTTACCTGATGTGTTTTGTGATCGGAGAAATATACAGCAACCATATGCGCGTATTGAAGCGTCACAGAAACCGTGTACATCAACCTGTTGATAGTTTATGGATAGGCAGTACCTCGGCACCTTAACCGATGAAAGCGTTGTAAGATCTTGAATAAATGTTTTCCAAGCTGAGTGAAGATTTTGAGGGACTGACTCGTCCCAATCCACACGCAAAAGCCACAATTCTTGCATCATAATTTTGGCTACGAGTATGATCGGTGCTAGTAATCCAAGCGGGTCGAATAATGAAGACGCAAGGGATAAGATGGTGCGTTTTGTTACAATATGACCTGGTTGTGCATTAAACGAAAATAGGAAAACATCTTGCATTTGGTGCCACTTGATGCCTAGAGCGCTGGTGACTGTATCTGTATCAAGATTCAAACTCTTTGTTGTAGTATCGCTGATGAAGTCATGATGGTTTGAATGCCATTTGTCAAGATCGAAGCAACCCTTCTGTAGAATGGCCGTTAACTGATGTCTGATATTGGTGAGTTG